TTCGTTATTTACTAGACGACACTTACTCTATCATTCATTTAATAATTCACTTTGTAATCGGTTTTTCTTGGTAGTAAATAGTGAAGAAGTATTTTTTTTATTTAATACTTTTACTATAATATATAATTCGTGTAAGTCGGAAATAATTTCTTTTTGTAGAATATTACCTACGGAAAATGGTCGCTGAGAATAATAGGCCATATTACCTATTTTAGTAGCACCATTTAGATGTAGGTAAAGTGAACGAATGAAAGAGGCAACGTTAGAAAGGCAGTTTGTTCAAAAGAGTTGGCATAACTAGAGAGAAGCTATGTGACTCGACCGATTGCGCGATCAGCTGATCGAAGGTTGCTTTTTGTGGGTACAGGTTTCGATGAAGGTCGTGCGTTGCACTGTACCTCATTGCATGATTATTTTTAGGGCTTTCGGGCTCAAGAGCGCTAAGGCGAAATGAAGCACAAAATAATTATTCCCCTTCGCAATGCGTGTGATTGTTCGGACAAACTTAATTTCACAAAATGTCAACTACTTCCAAGCAAAGCTTGTTATTAATTTTTTGCCATGTGTCTCTAAAACGTTATGTTACTATCTATTTCAAATTCTCGCTTCTTCCATGGCTCAAAAGATAAATTTTTAACTCGGAGAGGCGGCAGTCCCCGGCAGTGGCACAGTTGACCGTCAGTCAGTCGCCAGTTAGGAACTCAGGTACTAGAAACAGAGGACGATCTGTACAGTAGCACCACTTGGTGCATTCGTGCTGGAAGCCACACTCCAGAGAAATCCATCTGCGTCAAATTGTTAGCACGCCAGACTGGAATTAACCCGATGACAGAAAAAACACCGGGATTATGTCAGTGAATGCGACACCCCATGACTGTGATGTCGTGTGTCAGATCGATATACCTCCGACGCGACGTTTCTCGGTATCAGCTTTGACGAGGTCCTCAAATTATTATTTACCTGTTTCCAAATTATCATATAATAATTGTTTTAAATATAAACATTAAAATTTTGTTAGCTTTCCATTTTCGCCACGTAAAATAAAATAAGTAAAACACTGTTTCGAACTGGGGAAGCCTTGAGTTGTAAAATCGTGATAAAATGTCGCGATAGAATGAATCAAGGCGAACTCCTTTGTGTTAGTTAACAGTGGTTTCCGGTCCAAGTTTCAAATTAGTACGATATTGGATTATTGACGTAATTGAATATAAATTAACCTGCTTCCTTGAGGAAAAAAACAAATTTGGTATAGGCCTCCAAATTTCTGTGCCAGTCCCCACGATCCCGTGCTAAACTCATCCAAGTTCGCCCCGCGATTCGTGAGATGTCGTCCGCCCATCTCGCCGCCGCGCCGGACGCCAGACGTTGTATACATAATACCTATTTATATTTTTAGGATAACTATGTTGTAGAAACGAGTGAACTCTTCACAGCGCGTGATCAAAAAAAATCGCCGAAAAGGTTTATTTTAACCAATTCCACAGTTGACTAAAAAAACTCAGCAAATGAGAGATGTCTAAATCTAGCCTACAAAGACCAAAACATCATTCATATTTTGATCGTACAAAACATTTAGTTACAAAGTGCTTTAGTATAAAACATACAATTTTCCACCTGGGGCCTTAGAATAATAACGCTAAGCCTGGGGCAACCATCTGTGACAATACTGGCATTATCATACATGTGTAGGTACAATAAAATAACTTCACTACAACAACATTCAACTAGTTTGTTGCACCGAATGCGGTTGCGTATTAGTTAGTCGACTACGAAAAGTAGGGCAATGTACTTCGATTCTGCAGTTGATCGACCTTTAATTTGAATGTCTACTTTCCTAGTAGGATTATTGCTACATTAATATACTTCAAAATTAAGTTACATAGTAAAAGTATTTATTCAATTTAAGTAGGTAAGCATGTTACATAGTTAGCATTTTATTAGAAGAAAGAAACGGGACTTTTACGTGTATACTCGTAAAGGAACGACTCAATTTAATTATATCAAATGTGACCGGAGAAAAGTGAAAATGTAGCAATAGCACCACCAGCTCGAAAGATTGTGCAATGAGGATAACCTGCTTCATTCTATGCGAGTCATTTTCCTCATAATAATGCAAACTGACACGCACACTACGATTGGTTAGTAGGTACATGCTTTTTAATTTATTCACCTTTTAACCGTAAAAATTATTTCCCCGTTGAGCGATTGTCGTTCGGTAATTCGTTAGTGAGAGCGGTGGTAGCGCAGTGGGGAGACAGTTGCTTCTCTATTTGAGTCGTTGGTTCGAATCCCTGTAGCGACTTGTGCCTTGACTTTCATTTTTACGTTATACATACATTTGTCAATGTTTAATAGAAACTCTTCTCGCTAGCTGTGAGATGAAACCTGCACGTCGAAGCACAATCAAACAAAACAAGTTGCTGAGGACAAATTAATAAATAAGAATCTAACTGGTAATAAACTTAACCTAGCCATTTTTTTATGAATAATTTAAAACAAAAAAACCGTCACGAAAAGTTCGTGGAATTACATCTATTTGCCAAGTTTTATTGGAACCGGTTACCGGAAAGTGCGCGAAACCGGATTCATCCCCCAGTTTGCCACCCTTAGAGGTGGAATACTTTCTTCTTTAAATGAGACCAATACTGAGGTGCCCTTTTTCCAACAAAAAAAGAATCTATGTAACTGCCTCAGTGGCCGAACGGTTACCATGCCGGACTGCCACGCAGAGGTCCCAGGTTCGATTCCCGGGCCGGGAGCAATATTTGTATAGCCTACATTTATTTCTCTCGTGAGTTTGGGTGTAATTTGTGGTTGTCTATGTGAATGTCCATGGCACCCGCGACACAGGGTTTCCCTAGTGCGGGGCTATGTTGAGTGTGAGCGTTATTATTATTATCAACAAAACCGACTTACAAATGCCGGAGTAATCGTGTAACATACAAACAAAAAAGGATAGTCGAATTAAGAACCTCCCCTTTCATGAAGTCGGTTAAAAAGAATGAGACACTTCTAATACTTTATTAAAACCAATAAGTAATATTATCCCACAATTTTTATATTTAAGTAAAGTATGTATGTATGTACATTTCTAAATACCTTTGTACATAAGTTACGTAATGTTGTTATGATCTAATGCAGGCAGAGATATCTACGAAATTGCACATTTCTAGACATGTCCATAGTGATTCAGCATGTGCTTATTACAAAGTAAGAAAATGTACAAAGAGTGGAAAAACATGGGATTTACAATTTTCCTTATCATCTAACTGCTTGTTAAAGGTTTTTCACGAGGCTAATTAAAACTTGCGCTTGCCACTGACCGCCTCACCGCCAACGCAACTTTGCGCGCTCGCGCGTGCCTGTGTAATACACATATGTATATGTATACAAACATAACTACTAGAGTACCTAAGTAACGATTTGATTGTCGATTGATTAAATGCATATTTCGACATATACTTGACGATATAATGTTCTGACTATTTATTTATTTACTAGGTACTTAATTACTTATAGGTTTGTTATCTAGAAAATCGTATATATTTGATAGTTATTACCCACAAAATTATAAAATCGCCAAGCTCACTTGAGAGAACGTTGCGCAAGGGCCCTACTGCGCCCGCGCAGACCGCGACGCTGCTGTAGTGAAAGCCGATCTTGCACAATAGTGCCTGCGCTATTGTAGTTTCATGGCAAAAATATCAACAACTTTATAATTTGAAATACTATACTATGCTTGACAATTTTAAATCTATCATTTATTTAAAAAGTTATTAGTAAGTGCATGAAGATTTTATGGAACAACAGATGCGGAACTTGGTGATGGGTAAATATCCTTGAAAAAGTAACCCATTTTTTGGTTATTTATTTTGGAATGTATTTATGATAACTGATTACTGCAAAATGCGTGCAAATGCGTGTGACAATTGGGTCTTTTGAAGCGTTGTTGTAGAGTTTAAAGGAAAACTTGATTAAGTAATCAAGTACAACAACAACAAGTAACAATCGCAAGTACGAGGACACGAAACAAGTCATAAGACAATGGCACCAATTTAATAACGTACCTAATTAAAGGCAACACTTAGAACTAAAAATATATTGGAAAGTATATTATGTTCGATGTAGGGTAATTGAACTATTTTATCTTAACAGCTAACTTATTTGCATTCTCGTATGCGTTTAAACTCGACTTAGGTAAATGTTCCATTGCCGTGATAAAAAGAAGTAAATATATAAAAAAAACAAAGTTTTCTTTTGCAAACTTTGTGCATAACACAAAAATGTTGTGCAACTGCGGTCCCACGACAAATTATACACATACATAAACTCTTACTATGTTTAAACAAACTAACTTAGGTAGATGTAAATATACGCAATGTTAACTCAATATTGTGTAATATATCTATTATTACTTTTCTGGTAGCAGATGATTTTAACTCCGAATGTAAGAAAATCATTGCAGAAATATCTGATATTGCGTAATCGCGCAAACTCTCATTATTTGTTAATAATATTATTGCTACGAGAACATTCGTTGTTTCGTGTCCATTTATGTGTTTCCATGTCCACATTTTCTTAGCGTATCAACGACGACGTTACGAATTATGATTTATAGTATCTACCCTATCAAAATTGTGAAATATTAGGGAATCTCTCGCTGATCGAGAGAGCTGTGCGCAGCAACATTTATCCTTCCATGACGTCGTAGAGACCATATTTTAACTTTAACACGTTCGTTTTGGACCGTCGCCATGAGCTCTCAAAAACTACGTACAACAATACCGGCAACAACGACTTTACAGTTTTGGAGCTAATAGACGGTTTTGCTCCTAATTCCGAGGTCCCCAAACTTTTTTGTCTGGCAGACAACAAGGCACTTGTTTTCTATTTTGCGTAGACTTCGTGGTCTTCCTTATATAGATTTTATTACACACTCATAATATCAAATATGTGTGCGACAATTACACTGGTTATAACACCAAATTTGTTTGTTGCAGATACCGTCAAGATGAATCGCCACCACCACGACGACGATGACGAGCACTGCTCGAGCAGCCACGCTATGACGGTAAGACCCTGTTTATAGAACCAATGCAAAATACTAACTAACCTACAACAACTCTAGAGGCAGGTGTCGTGTTATTTCATTTATTCAATTTATTTTTAATTCAACATTCACTAATTTCCATGTTCTGCTATGCCTTATCAGTCGGCAACAAAGCAGCTATTGGTACAACCGCAACCGCAGAGCAACATTGTATCTAGTGTTATCAATTTCCCACAATTTCCTCGCGCAGCCGCTGTCCCGCCGCCAGACCGCTGCTGGCGCTCGTGCCCGCAATTGTGACTTACTTGACCTACACCTATTGAATTGCCAATACATTGTTTACAAATAAAATTGTGTTGGAGTATTTTAATGAAGACAGGCACTTAACCGCTCGACCGCTGAGGCCAGCGAAGTGGGAGTTTTAAAATGATATACGAGTAGTTAGTTTTATCAGGTTGACCACGATCTAATTCATGCCATAATCAACGTTGATTTGGTAAACTTTCGAAGTAAGCACGTACCTTGAATATAAAGATATTGCCACTTCGAAATGAAGGCATTTAACGCTTAATTTGGAATTTGACGCCAGTGGGTATCTCTACAGATCCGTCTTCACATGGAATTTGGGCCATTCCACAACCATAAAAACTCGCTAATAAAAATAACAAATCAGCATATTATCGATGCATAAAATGTGCGTGCTACATACAAACTAACGCTTACGTTATCAGTAGGTCACAGTTTTACTTTCTGGTGTCCGAAACGGAATTCTGCACCTGGGTAGCGTGTGCTTCGAAGAAAGAGCGTGGAAAATTCACGATGCGTGTCGCAAGACAACCAATTGGTTGACTTCTTCCTGTCATGTAGGGCGATCATATAACGAACAGGCTTTTCCTAAGATGGCATTCTTGGTTACGATTACAATATACAATCCTCTAAAATATACATATATTTTTAACCCACAGAATAAAAAGAATGAGAATTATACAAAAACAGAACTTTCCACGAGTAAACCTTGTAGCTTATATCTAAAAATGTGGCCCTCTGTTGGTTTTATTATAGACTGTGTGTACACAGTCATCAATCATCATTAGTCATTAGACATGATTATTCCGTTAAAAACGAATGAGCAGATTGCACTTCTAGAATTGCGCGTGCGCCGCATCGGAAGGCGCCACTCGGCTATTTTTTCAGCACCTCATCGGAAAATACTAAGCACAGATAGTACAGATATCAATATAAAAATGTATAGTTTATTAAAAACACAAGCGTGTGACTAAACAAGAAAACTCTGTCATTATTAGAATAATTGCAAAATTAATAATTGACTGTAAGACAGTAACGATCGAGAAGTATGTAAATCAAAACTCACAGCATTGTCTTCAAAAACGTATTAAGTATGTACCAAATGAGTTTGTCCAGCAATAACGACATGAATTTACAATGTGTTCGTAGTGTTGCAATAAAATACAATGTTTGACGAGGATAACCGCACTTTGCGGTTGCAATAAAAATATGTTATCATTAGTTATCAATGTATGTAACCACAGTCGCTACTGTTTACTTCCAAAAATATGTAGATGATTACTTAAATGTACTTTATTTAATTTGGCTACACCTACTTATAATTTACCTAAAAGTGCGACATCCCATACAAAAACATTTAAGTTGACCGTGTAAAATTAACAACACGTGGAATACTCCCTCGGAGACGTCACATTTCATGCAAAAAGACGAAAGATGTACCTAATTCCCAAATGTCTCCACCTTCTAGTTCCACGCGAGCGTCTGCCAGGAAATCCTGTTTAATGGTTGGATGACACACACAGCCCTTGAGCTCTTCGGTTCCGCAGTGGCCATCTTCCTTGCCGGCATCCTTTACGAGGGATTGAAGTACTACCGCGAGGCGCTCCATTCAAAAGCCACGTCTGTCACGGGGGACTCGAGAGTTAATATTACGAAGAGCGAGTGCGGCACGAACGGGACATGTCCTGGGACCACTGTTGTTAAGTGAGTATACTTTTTTACGAAAACTGTTTACTTAATTGAAGGTACTGTGCTTTTGTCAAATATTATTCGCCTTAAATGTCTTGCTTGACAATAACCAAAACGTAGTACTTACCTAAGTGGCATCCATCACAAATGTGTTCAAATAAAAGTTGGCATTCGATTCCATATTTTATTTCATAATATCAAGTGACGGCACGAACAAGTCCTAAGTGCCTGTAATTTCACCCGCACCCTTACCCTTCCAAACTGGAACACAGTAATGCTAACATTACTGCTCGGCGGCGGAAATAGGCAAGATGGCAGTGATACCCTGGACGAACTCTTTCACAAGGAGCTCTACTACTGCCTATATGCCTGTACAGTGTACACACTAGCGACTGCTTTAAATATTTGAGAATTTTATAGAATAACTCATACAGTCCTCCAAGCTACCACAAGAGTAGGCTTTTGTGTGAAAATATTTTTTTTCACGGTCGCCAACTGTCGACAACTGTTCCTGCAAGCTCATAGTAGAGGCGTGTTCATACTACAGTAGCATATACTATTATTTAATATCGTCGTGTTGATACATTTTGCATGCAAGTGCAGCAAGTTTTTACGCTTCGGATTTCGCACGCCTTTATCGCGAATAAGGAACGCAAACAATTGTTGAAACTGTAATGTTAAGTATGTGCTTGAGACTTCTATACACTTGGCAATAATTGCATACTCATCGCAAGTGAAACTGACCATACTACGTAGATACCTACATCGTGCAGGAGATTTCTTTTTATTGATCGTTCCAAAAATGCTAAAAACTAAAGCGTGATTTGCCGTTAACTGCAGGTTATTCAGCCAAAACTGTCCTCATTTCCAGGTACACAATGACGTCACCCGCGCACATAATTCAAACACTCCTGCACTTTGTTCAATCCACATCGTCCTACATATTGATGCTGGTGTTCATGACATACAACGTGTGGCTGTGCTTGGCGCTGGTACTCGGTCTGGCCGTCGGGTACTTCTTCTTCGGGTGGCGAAAGAACACCGTCGTGGACTCTACAGAACATTGTCAATAGTTTATCGTTTTATATTCATGCTGACCGGCAAGGACTTTTTGAACGATCTAAGAATGCTAAATAATTAAGTAAAGGCGCTACAGACGAAGGGAATTGGTCCATTTAATCGCTCTGTACAAGTCAAAACATCTCTCGGACTTGATATATCTGCGCCGAGTTTTGAAAAATCTGCGACGAGATAAACGTTCGGCTGTGGTCGCTCATTCCATTTACCTACATCAAGTCCTTTGGTATAATGGTGCTAAAGTAATCAAGCTTCTAGGATTTCATCGAGTTCCTTGTCATACGAAGGACACCTTGACGCTGTATTTTTTAGTAAATAGTTATTTGTAAACTTTTGTATCGACAGTCATTGGATTTTATAAAAAAAATTATTGTCTTTAAGTCTAGTGAATAATGATCCGTGAAGTTTGAAGTTTATGTGTATAAATGTAACCTAAAAAGTACGCAAAGCACCGTATGAAGTAATCTAAAGAGATGGCCATTTTCGATTGGTCAGATTCGATTTTGAAAATATGTATGTTAATACCTAATGACTTCGATACGGTTAGTTTTTAGTTAATTTTAAACAGGGCATTGAAAAACAACCGAATTAATGACAACAATTACCATGGAATGAAAGAACAATGCAAATTTTGTGAATGTTAAAATCGCCAATTTGTATAGGCACATGCCTAACAAACAAAACGTGTTACAATACAAAGTACAATAAGTTTGTAACCATCATCACTTTTAGTGTGTGCAAGGCAAACTTTTTAATGAAATACACATAATATATCTTACAATTTTTGTTATGCCTAAAGGAAAGTACCGACGAAGTACAATTGGTGCCCAAAGTTACTGCTGCTTATCTGACGACGATGAGCGTTAAAAATTTCGCAGTTGCTACGAATCAGTAACACAAACAATGTTTGTGAATATGAATGCTATTACGTCTAAATGGTATTTATAAACGCTTTCACACACCATTCAAAATATTTAAAAAATACGCTCACTTTGTTACTTGCCAAATTAAAACCTTAACATTCCACAATATTCCTTTAATGTTTAGTTTTCTAACTCTAATGTACCGTGTATGTGCCACTACTGGCATCGGATCTTTATATACGGCATTAAGCCATTTTGTAACTAAATAAAACATCAAGGGGCCACCGCTTGGGCTTCTTGCTCACGTATATGTTTAAGGGCTTAAATTAGGTTTAGCCCCTCCACCATTAAGCCAGAAAAAAAGAATAAAACCCCAATTTTATGTATACCAATAGCTACTACTAATGCCACTAAGACACAGTTCGAAAGTAACTTATTCTGTCGTCTATATTTATTTTTTAAATTTAGCGCCATGACTTTTTTGCAAATTTGTTCTCGAAAAATGTTGTCTACATGGCTATTATTATTTTATTATAATTCTTTGTACCATTTCGTAGTTGTACCTATTATTTACGATATTTAAACGGGAAAAATATTAAAATTGTATAGAAAGTAAACTTGACATCTATTTAACGTATTTAGTACATTATTTACTAAGTATATCTATGCATAAAAAGTCGTATGCTCAAATCGCAATGTTGACAATAAATTATACAGAACGTGTGATATTATATATATAAGTTTAATGTAGCTAGAAAGTATATATAAGTTTGTGTTTCTTTTTGTAAAAAAAAAGATAATACATTCCTACCGTGATTACATATTTACAATTTTTTTTTTTTTCACCTTTCTGACTATGAGAAAATGTCTACCCTACCCACGATGTACTACATTTATATCGTAATGTACTAATACGAAAGTTACGTACCTTAAAGACCTAAAATTCACGTATATATCAAAGTAGTGATGTAGACGTTCTATATAGCGGTCACAGGTCATAAACCTTATACCGAATTTACATTACGAAACTTATTTCATGCATGTTAAAATAGAATTCACGAAACTAATTTCAATACACATGTAAGTAAAAATCAATATCCTGTACATCTTTAGTATCTTCTGAGTCATGTTGCATAACGTTGTTACATAGATGTTAATGTACAAAATAAAAAAAAAGTCTCGAAAACGAAGATGTTGGTGGATTAAATGGTTACCACGAAAGCCTATTGGTGCATCAAAGTTAATCTCTGGCATAAGAAATGAAGATCCAGATAACTATTAAAATTATTTTCGAATTAATGAAAACCGTTTTCATTTTATTGAATAAAGTCTCCCACAAAATATCTAAACAAGATACTACTTGTCAAGAAGCATTACCAGCAAAATGAAGCTTCAAACTACACAATTTCGCATTGCATTTAGATAATGAATTTAGTTGCATGGTAAAATCGCGCGACTCACGAAACTATTTGATTTTATAAAATTAATGCACGCATTATGCATTATGTTTACACGTGAAATTACGTAAGTAATTAAATAAGTAATGTAAATTCGGCTCTACCTACACTAGACAAATTATGAGTGCTCTAAGCACTATAACTGAATCTCAACAGAATAAAAGTATAAATACGTACGTGCTCAGTGGGAGGTTTATGTCCAGCAGTGGATGTGTTAAGCTGATGATGATCTATCAGTTAGTATGCATGGTCAACATTTTAAGTGGTAATTGGAAACAAACAATAAAATTTTGGACATTCGGAAATAAATTAAAGCGACTTTCCATAGATTTCATTTAGGAGCAAATGAAATCTCGTTTGATTTTATCGTAGTTTACGCTTTCGGGACTAGCGACATCTATCGACAATTTTATCTTTTCTTTTTTTAGGTAAGATCAAAAAATCTAAAAGACGTTTCATTTAAAATAATTGATTTAAATAAACTTTTACTATATATTTTTAACAAATATCTTTATATGTATCCATTGTCTACGTCTTTTAAATATGCTCGTGGTTTACGCATTAAGCCGGAAAGTAATATGATACTTTCTGAACGAAAACATTATCTGTGATTTTCCAACGAAATGTCATGTCATGTCAAATGAAATGTGACGGACGGTTCGTGTTTTCGTCTTTTCTTTTTACTTGTTGATTTTATTACAAAAATCAGGTGAGAATTGTGTGAAAAGTTGCGCTGCTGCTGCCAGGAAAGCTATGTTATAGTGTGGACGACACGAGCCGCCTGGAGCGCCCCTTGATTACTTTTCCGGAGCGCCGATTGTTCAGGTAACGGTATTATTTGTTTTTGACGACGTCGATATTATTTCGTGGAATCACCTTCACGTGAAGCATGAATCTATCGCAGTCTGATCATTAAAAGCTAGATCTCTATTTCAAAAATCTGATTGTGGTGTAACTCGTTACTTCTACAGCAAGAACTATGAGAAATCCTTCGACATATGAAAGCGGATGTATAGCAGGGAGTAAGTGGATATGCAAAACAGTCACGAACGTCTGTTGTTGAGCAGTTAGCACTCTCTGCCTCCCTGATACTCCGACCGTAATTCCATTCTTGGCCTTTATTCGGTTTCATTAGCAAATGGCTTTCTAATTGGATAGTTTTAATAGGTCACCCAGCAGTGTGAAAGTGACATCTATTAACACGATTAAACCTGTTAATTTGTTTGAGTACATGCTGATTAATCTCATAATTGTGGTATTAAAAGTTAATTGAAACGATCTCTCTTTTATTATCAAAATCTTTTTATTAAAATTGAATTTGTATATTATGAATTATCGAAAGTATGAATCTTGTAAAATTTATTATAAATGCGATCCCAAAAGCTAAGCCGCTGACTGGCCGGTGGCTTGCTCATCACTAAGGTTCTATTGAAGAGTAAACAGGAAGCTATGTGGATATCCATTTCTTGGAATTTGCCTTCAGGGTTTAAAGGTTGCCAGATTACTGGCACTAGAGGAGTTGACAGTGGCGTAGGGTCCCTGAGAACGGAAAGTAAATCTTGATTGATTTTGGTTTGTTTTTTACAGTGTAAAGAACACTGCACATGGTACACATTATTGTTTACAGTTTTGTCGATTTCTGAGTGACCTTGAAATGGAATTTTTATTGAAGATTTCTATACCAAGTGCCTCTGGAAGTTTTTTAATAGCTATTAAAAAATGCTAATCTGTTGCAGAATAGGTAGTGGCAAAAGGCTTTGAACTTGTAGTGACATTATTTAAACCAGTTGAACTTACCCAAAGGTCATAAAGTTCTTCCAAAGACTTAGCAGTCTTTGCACTGTGGTCTCCTCATCACTTTCTAATTGGTCAACTTTAGCAAAAATATAACTGAATATGTCGCTGTGCTTTGCCGTCTTATCTGTATCCACATTAAAGTTAAACTTCATAAGATACACTGGCAAAGTACTTTTTAAAGCATACATTGCGGCAAACTTAACCATAGGATACTCCATAAAGATATCATTAATATAATCTATGTAACACTCCATAATAGAATCAGGTTTCAGCTCTTTTTCGTCAAAGTAAAATTGTTTAATAAACTCTGCCATTCTGTACTTTATATCCTCACTTTGAAAATCCAAATTGTTAGGCAGTAAATCATCAAAATATTCAGGCACTACACTACATTTTGCTGAATTCTCTTCAATTATAGATATTTCTTCAGCTTCTGTATACACAATTAGCAGCCGTACTTGATCAAAGAAACCCTGTTTTAATATTTGCTTTGGGTCCTTGGCTATTAAACTATGAGCGTAGTAGTAACTGTTCTCAACACATGGCAGAAATAATGAGGTAATATTGACTAATTCTTCAATAGATAAGTCCTGGTAAAACTCAATTAGATCAGCTGTGTCATCCTCATCATCGTAACCTAGATTAATGGCTTCATTAAGAGCTGTTGTATAGGGATCATAAGCCATAGAACCTGGAGATAGTACCGAGCCTGACTCTAGAATCACTTGATGGAAAAGCCCTTTGGTTAACCCTGATAAGAGAAGAAGTTGTATAGCCACTGCACCAGCCCCTGTTCCGTAAAGCGTGATATTATGCGGGTTCCCGTCAAAGTTGTGAATATTTCTGTGGATCCAGTAAAGGGCCGCAATTTGGTCCTTGAGTCCAGCATTACCTGGGACTTCGGCTGTGCCCAGGCAGAGGAACCCCATGACTCCTAAGCGGTAGTTGAAAGTCACCACAATGAAATCTTGAAGAAGCCGTTCTGGGGGCTGATAAGAGCCCCAGCTGCAAAAATTTAATTTAATTGCTTTTTGTAAATCATCATCATCATCTCCAGCCGAAAAACGCACTCTGCTGAATATGGGCCTTCCGAATGGAACATCGCCCAAGACGGTCCCTAGCTAGCTTTCTGTGTGCTACAGAATGACAATATGTTTACCCTTCTTGGAACCCGCCGTCGTGAACATGCACGAGCACGGGCAGCGCGCTGGCGCCGACTTCGCGCTCGGGCACGAACACGTTCGCCACCAAACAGTTCTCGTCGCCCTCGCCCGATGGCTGCACGCATTTGACGCGGTGCGTCGCCTCGAAGATGCCGTCCCACTCTGGTGGGGGGTCTGGTGCCTGGAATTTTAACTTTACAAACATTCATAAGGCTGAATATAACCAATACCTCACCGTGTAACTTACAAGCAGTTTATTATAATATTATTCCACAAGACCGATTATTTTTCTATGTGTACGTTCTATAATGTAGTTACGAGTCATCCTTCAGTGAACTCCATTTGCGAAAATGTTAATCCAATCAAGGGGCTAATAGTCCAGCGGGACGGTGACGACAGTGTAGGCATTATCGGGCACGCGACCCCACACCCTCTGGCGCCGTGACGGACGTTTGCCCGACCTTAATCTGCACGATAACGATCTGCAAACGCAAACGTCAGACCCGTAAACACAAACAGAGCCGACCTTAAACCTGTCGCGATGTGTTGGCGGGCTTGCGTACGGCAGTCCGAGGAAGACGTAGTGCGCGGGCGGCGTGTGCTGGTAACCGCGTGCCGCGCCCTGGTCCGTATTCACCTCGCGATGCGCGCGCCACGCCAGCCCCCCTCGACCCCCCACCACTCCCCCGATGCTGTTCTGTCCGTCGCAAAGCCCCAGCCAACCCCACAGCAACAGGTGCGTCGCCACTCGCGCCCTCATGCTCGTCTTTACCCCGCGCTAATCACTTGTCTTCTTCCATCGTAGCGGTTTTCTGATAGTGGATGTTATGTTGTAATGAAGGCGTCCGGAATATAGCTGGCGAGTCTAGTGAAATGTGTGCTCTTTGAATAATCTAAGCCGGAGCGACGACGTGTTTAATTTCGTCTATGAAAACATATCCTCCAGTTAATACAAACTACCGCACCGGCATTTCCCTCCTCTACAAATATTTTGAATCCTATAACTAAAATTGTAGGGCAGTACCAAACACGACTATTGAATAGACGATAGATAAGTATATTTAGGATTATATTATATACCACTTACAACTCAATAATTATTTAAAACAAGAATTTACGTAGGTATACAACGTTCGACTTAAATGAATTCTGTTTAGAAACGCACTAATAATAATATGCGAACTTTCTAAAAAGCATGCCATACAAATTACATTATTTTGAAAGTAAATAGAACGACTGAAACCAGAAACATCAAAAATTGGCAAGGGTTCAAACCCAGGGCTCGGTTATCGATGAAGCGGTTTTTATACAGCTCAGTCCAGAGATGCAGCCGGTTCACATACATGCCCGAAGTGTTCACCTTTGGCTCAGTGCCTATCGATAACCATACTTCCGACTCTTCCTTTGCATTATTAAATATGCTCCATTCGACGTCCGCCGTAGATGGTTTTCTGTAAAAAGCACAACACATTTTTTTATAACTTAAAAATAGAGAACAACTGACGATTGTCCTTATCATACCCTTCTTTGGCGAAACTAGTCCATAGAGTTGTCATAAAGTGGATCATATTATCATCATCTTCCATTGAGAATGTAGTGTCTCCCTCAGTGAAGGTGTAACCGACAATGTCGCCCCGCGCGGCGCCATTCACGTTGATGCGTTCCAGTAGTGAATTTTTCACTCTATTCAATTGTCCTACGTAGGAAAACTCGTAGAAGTATACTGTAGCGCCAGCCTTAGCGAGTAAACGTGCAGTGCGTATTGAAGGACCAAGGTAGGAAGCATCAGTATGGTACAGCGAAACGTCTTCAATGTCCTCTATTGGCCCTTGGAAATAAATATCCCTAATTTTATCACTTTCTTCTCTTATTTCATCTTCGGTCATGAACTTTAAATCGTTGGGTAAAAACTTTGTAAAGTCATAGTTCATGTGTAGTAAGTTTTGATCGGCCGCCTCTTGCATTCCGGCGTGATCTGCAGATCCAATCATGAAGACAATACCTCTTAACTTACTGAAGGTTTTCTCTTTATTTAAGATTTGCCAAGATGATTCATTAATGAACGAATCTAATCCTTTTTCTACACAAGGCCTGAAGTCAATTCCGTGAGATTTACTTATGATTTCTTTAATTTCGATATCGTCACTAATCGGTTCCCCCATAGCATTAACTAATTTTGTTGCTGTAGCTATTGGGTCTCTGTCTATAGCCCAATGCGCGAGCACTGATCCACTTTCCGAAATGACCCCCTTTATGTATTCCCTAGACATAGGAGATAGTGCTAGGTACTGAGCCAGCGCTCCAGCCGCGCCTTCACCACCTACTACAATTTTAGCTGAATTTCCTCCAAATGCCTTTATGTTGTTTTTTGTCCACTTTAATGCCAAAGCCAGGTCTTTCAAAGCAGCGTTTCCTGGCGCTGTCTTGTTCTGAAGGCATAGAAATCCGAGTGGACCAAGTCGATAGTTGGGTAAGACTAAAATGACGTCTTTAGATACGAGATGTTCTGGGCCATAGATTCCGGGATCAGCACTGTCACTCACAAAATTGCTGTCGTAGATATAGAAAAGCACCGAAAGGTTATCGGCGTGGACCGGCGTGAATATGCTGAGCGTCAAGCATTCTAAGTTGCCCACTAACACCGGCTCGTCGTCCGGCGGCTGCAGCTGCGGACATAGCTTCGTGTGCGACGCATAGTGCAGCGGGTCGCTCCAGCTCGTGGGATTAATTGGTGCCTAAAATTACAGATGAATTTTACTGTTGTTGGCGAATTTTCATTCACGAGTCGTTAAACAAATTGGTATAATAGCATACATTTACCCATTGTGTCCATTAATACATATTTCGGTAGACAAATTTCAAAGAACTTTATTGGTGGTTGGCATCCACTTGGACTTTAATCTTTTTATCGGTGATGCTTCCTTGGTTACTTAATATCGGTAAGAGAACTACACGTGTCGTCTAGCGGTTCCACCGCAGAACTATGTAATTACTAGTCTTCAAAATATGATACAAACGATATATAAATCGACAGACGAAGCACAAATAACCGTTTGCTAATTACAAAATTTTAAGTTTTTACTCAACTGAAAGTGGTAATTTATATTTGTGAGTGTTAACAGTTACTACATTCAAACTATATCTAGACAACTATTTAAATTTTTATTTAAAATATTTCGGATTTTGGTTATTTGGTTAGGTATTCAGAACTTTTATTAGCAATGATCGGAATAGGTAGTAGCAGTATAGCTCTGTGTCAAACAGTAACCTATTACTGCCGCCAAACAGTAATGTGAGCATTACTGGGTTCCGGTTTTGAAGGCCCACCCTTGCTCGTGAAATTACAGCCACATGGGACTAGGCAACTTATGTCTCAGGTGACGGGCGCAGTGGTAGTGCCCCTCAGATCTTTGCGAATTAAAGCTCTGAGTGGCACTGCAACTGTTATGAACAGGCGTGTCGTTTACCATCAGGCACACGACTTGTTCGTCCCATCACTTAGTATCATAAAAAAAAGGTAGAGATGTTTAAAAAAGCTAAAATGTATACCTAGTACTGCACGAAGAGTCAATGCGATAGTTTTAGGATCCCGGAGGAATGTCCATAAATCAATAAGATATTTGAAATACTTATCTTAAGAATTCTAATTACAAGTATTAGTAAAAAAGGCAGTTTTTGTAAAATGTATACTTTTTGGAAAAAAAAAAGAATTTATGTTAGGAATTTTCCTAGATATTCCGAAAAAATATTGGTTTCAAAAACGCGTCGTAAACTTTAGATAAATATAGTCTACCTACCCGGTCAGATTCGAACTGACATCTTCTAGCTTACCGTGTCAGACGCTGTACTAACTAAGCCAAGGAACGAACGAGCGGACCTCACGAATTTTTGTCGTGTCTTTGTATTAGGTTTTTCAAGTCGTAGCGCCATCTATGAGAAATCTTTGAAAGATTTATCACCCAGTTAGTACCTATACAGCTACCAGTCCTGACGAGAGATGTGAGCCCAGGGAGACTCAGGGGTTATGTGGGGACTCTCCCTCCAGACTGGAGGGCCTACCCCACTAAAACCCCCCCGGGTTTCCCTCTCGCCGGTTGAGTCGGCGCCGTGGGATCAGTGAACATTCACCACGACACCTAGTATCTACCTACCCAAATGATGCCAATTTTTAATGTACTCAAGTGATTTCCCGAATCACGAAAGGGACAAAAAAATGTTATCTTAAGGTAGTCTCTGTTCCTCAAAGTTTAAGTAAAACAACTACCTATTCCGCTCAATCACTGCTTATTAGACAAACAAAATTACAAGTGCGTACGTCAAATAAATATACTCGTATAGTCAAGGTCGAAAATAGTTCAAAATGTGTGTGTATGTAACACGCGATCAGGGCGTCGGCGCCCTTTAATTTTTGAAAATTGGCTAATGTACTGCAGTGTGTCTACATTTGTTATACTTACCGCAAAAGGTTTCTCAACCGCTCCGTACGGGATATCAATGAATGCCAAAATATTATCATCACTTCTCCAGTTTACGCCCATCACGGGTCCATAGTCAGTTTCTCTTAGAAGCGAAACAGGGTCTTCTTTTAGATTCTGTGTTTGTACAGGGTCACTTTTGTTGCCTTCCTCTGTGAGGCGCAGGTTTGCGGGCTCGAGCACGTGGGAGTTTTGGTCAGGGTTGGGAGAGGGGATTTGTGCGCAGGCGCCTCCGACCAAGAGTAGCTCGCCCCACACACCCAACCACGCTACTAATCTCCACTGCATTTTGGAGATACTGACACTTTGTTGACAAGCATACCTGCACAAACGTACTGTCATGTGTATACTTATATTCAATTTCTGATAAACAACGACACCGACACACTGAACATAACAGACATTTTTTTCATAAGAACCACGCGTAGGATTTTACTATTTACCTGTGTGGAGTGTGAACCGAAATGATTGCGAATTAACGCGTTTTTTCCCAATTCACTATTAGTGCGGACGTCGTCGCTGCGCTTGCGACTGGTTTATCACGCGTTTACGATAACGTCTAGAGAACTGCACAACTCACAATACTCAAATGCGATTGTGGCGATTGATTACAAATTGTGAGGTGGGCTACTCGATTGTTACTGTTACTTATGAAATTTTAAAACAATACATAAGTAAATAAAGTGACTTCACAACCATACCGCTTAGGTCCTGGTCTCGAACTCGGATATTCTCTATACCATGGGAATACCCAGGCTAGAACCAATTTAGAAAAGTTCCTTACCAAATTGGCCCTTCCGGGAATCGAACCCGGAACCTCTTCACCTAGCGCCCAAAATGTTAACCGCTGAAAATATAATTTGTAGATATTAAAAAACATTTTACCTCGTATAACTGCAGGTCGTCGAGGATGCGTCGTCAGCACGAGACTGCCTATATGTATTGATAAGCCATCGATTGAACTATGGACATTCGCGATCACAAGCCTTTCAACATTCCTTTAGACACTACGCACCTATGTGCAGCACAATACATCTTTCTACTGAAGCTGCGGAACAATAAATAACCGAATTCGTAATAGAAACATGAATTTGTCTGCATTCTGCTGCTGCTACACCAGAATCATTGGGCACATAGGAAACTGTCAGGCACCAGCTTAAGAAAATTAAGATTAACTGCAATAACTGCGGTAGTAATAACACTGGTAGATAATTTTCCCATAGCACTGCCGGTAGAAAAACGAATTAATAAGCCGGGCAATAAAGGCATTCACTCCCTCCGCGCACTGCTGTAGAGCATTATTGTAGATTAAGATGTACAGAGTAGTAGTAGATAATCATTATATCTCTGTAGGTAAAATTGATGGCACTTTACTTGCACATTGCAACCAATCAGATTTGAGTCCTTTTATCGGTAAAGCCGATAGACCAGTTGCCGGTTGTACCGAACTCTGCTCCTTTTCACTTGTACGTTGTGGGTGATATAATATTACTCCCTTAGACGTAAAAGCCCTTTTTTATTTGAAATCCATCCAAATTACGCAACACATTCTGTTTTGCATAAAATTAAGCGTAGTTTTTATTCCATAGATAGAGTTGGTCGAGTTTCGTGAGTCGCGAACTGAACCCATAAATTATTTTGCTTTTTGCCTAAACATACTTGACGCGACTGTATGACCCCCGGTTTTACACATAGTTATTATTTTTTATTTATTTAATTTATTTAAAGATACACCATCAACTTAACACAAAACAATATTAAAAAAAATACACACAGGTTCACTATACAAGGTGCCAAGTCACTACAGGTGTATACATCACTAAAAATCTAATGTTAACCAATGAGATACTAAAGAAAATATTTAATTAGAAATATAAAATTACAGTAATAATTAGTTAGTTATCTATAATAGATATTTACAAGTTTCATAAGTTCAAACAAATTGCTTGCACATACGAAGAAACTGCTTAGTATTTTTTATATTAAAGATATCTATGTCGCCGTCTCCAGTCGTAAGTAAGTCATTGTATGACTACATGAGTCTGTTCAAGGGGGCATACTTTCCAAGATTAGTCCTGCTACTAGACAAAACAAATGTTCTGACTATGGGATACTTTACGAGGTACTTTACGAGGAACGTTAAAATTAGTGAGGGCAAGAGCCTCTGGCGACGACATACCTCCATGCACTATCTTATGCAAGACTCCAATATCGATGATTATTATCGATGATATATATAGTTACTTTAGAAAGTCACCATGGAATCGCGTTAAGCCGATCAGAAAAAGCTTTATGCCCGTCTAATAAGAGCCAAAAAGATTTTGTATCGGCGACCCTTACTTCATGGACATAAAGACTTCTCGCGGGCTCGAGTCGATTCCGTATTAATAAATGTAGTAACTACCTGAAGACGAGGTGTTTCAGCGCGAGCTTAGATTTTAGGAGGTGAGTGAGGTGTGAGGGGGAGGGAGTTCGCGTCTCGCGTTCCGCAATCCGCGCGCTGTATATTAATATGAAAATCAGTACAGGCGGAGAACATTTCCAAGCGCCCGATGGCGACTGACGGGGTGGCAGCAAATTTTGCAAATTTTGAAATTAACTAATAGGGCTTCAGTGAATACCAAAAGTTAGCAGTTCATGCGTTACTCTTTTTGTTATATTTGTGGCTTGGTACAAGAAGTGCTTAAGAATTATGGACTTAGGCATATCTTGTATCAAGCCACAGATAAATCTATGTGTATGCCTAACTTTATAATTATAGCTATAGTAACTTGCGATCACTATATACTTACACTTAAAATAGTTTCTATTGCCGTGACGATGCAGCGGTGAAATTAGTGGTTCTGCCTTTTCATTACATTTTTCTTTTACTTCTATATTTTCTGATTTCTTTTATATAAGAAGCAAAGTCTGACCATATCATTAATCCAAAGCCAATAAGCGAGACTATATTGTACATTTTCTTATCTAATTCATATCTTAATTTAAAAAAGTCTAAGTAAGTACTTTTTTTAATTTCACACAAATTTTACGAACTTGCACACTTTTTATTCTTATATGAACACTCATAATTGCGTCGACCGCGACTGCGGATACATCATCGTACGAACTTTCTTGCCCTGCACATTGTGCTGCGACTGGACTCTCTAAATCGCCTTGAGTATTTCTTGGAATATCTCAAACATTTTTTGACGAACGAACACTTGTATATGCGTACAATAACACGAAGCAATTTATATTGACAAAAGATACGCTATTATTACGCCACTATGCAGTCGGGACGCCCACGAGCGTGAAATCTTCTTTCAGAAACGCATTCAATTGATTAATTCATTGAAGAAGCACCTCCAATTTAGAGGAAAGCCAATAAACGGCGTGCCCGCTATACGCACGCACTCACACACGCGTGTACAGTATCTTTTTGAAACAAAATTTAGTATGTTTTAGTATATTATTGTAATGTATTAGAGGCTTTATCATTTTTTTAAGCATTTAAATTAACTTTAGCATTTGATCAATATCATGAAATGTTAACACAGAATTGTAATCTAACAAACTTCGCAATTGGCTATAATAAGTTTGATATTAAAGATATCGTCTAAATAAAATAAACGACTTTCGAAAAGCTTTACTGCACAGCAGTCCGGAGTGTACGAGCGATATAGCCTAATACATTAAAAGTTATCAAACCACTCGACACACATGTACTATAGATTATTTCGATTTTTCCTACATTTGGTTACTAGAAACTAAGGGCTAAAGGAACAATCTCAAAATACTTTGCGACGATGGTTGCGTTGTGTGCATTAGAAGTAAGTTATACCCTATTAGTTTATTTAAGAAGAAAGCGATCGGACAATAAAATTGTTTTCTTTATTACAGGTAGGGAGACCACGTCATGATTGTCGATAGATCACTCTACTTCAGCAGGTAATAAGGTAAGTTTTTAGACCACAGTAGGATAAGATATTTGAAAAACATACTTTATATATAGACAATTATTTAAGTGTTAAGATGACATGGAAAAACAGAATGAAATTGCGTTACCTATATTTTTTTCTACTTTCACAATTATAGAAATCAGTTAACTACCAGGAATCCAAACTACAACTAAATACGATATCTCCCATAGTAATATTTTTCGTAAATCTCGTCCCAAACCCTGCTAGTCCTGCCGTGAGGGAACTGCTGCATCTCCAGCTGGTTTCCGATGTTAAGTACCCGGGGGTTGTTGGAATCCACTGACTCCCAAATCACGGAGCCCTCATTGTGTGGCGTAGGATTCCTGTAATGCGCAGTAAGCGATGTTTATGAACTCAACGAAAGTAACATGTGTAAGACGAGCAATTCTCAAAAATTTACAACAAAATAGTCTTAAATGATCTTGAACTGTACCCAACAGTTCTTTGAAATCTTCTGAACAATTTTCTCTAAATAAATTACTTCAATGTTTAAGAATAATTAACTAAAAGCGACTGGTCGTCCTTTTGATCAATTTGCATGTCCCATTGTCTCTGAACATCATCATCATCAATCGAATCCAATGTCATCACCAAGGGTAATAAATAAAGTGCTCGCTGTTATCACCAGATACCAAACACTCGATGGGTTCGAGTGCAATTTGAACCTCGCAGTAGTAATCCTCTACCACTTTCCTGCACCTTTCAGTTAAATATTAAATAGTGGAGTTTATTATACTTACTAGTAGTTTATTAGACTTAAGGTCTAGTTAATGACTATGAAAAGAGAACTTAATGCCATAACTAGTACTACTAACTGTACATAGAGAAAATCCCAGAAATCTGAAAATGTTTGGAGTTGAGTTATTTTTAATTATCGCTTCACAACATATTGAATCATGTTAAAAAAACAGTTTAGCTATGAATCGAAGGTAGGTATTATGTTATTGTTATGTTATGCTTACAAATATTTAACGAAGTTTGTCCACAGCAATATCAATCGCTGTTGCACATTTCCGTCGCTCCCCTCGTAATCATCCCTGGAGAACAAATATCCCAGCTCATCAGAATGCGCTGCGCCAGTCTTCTTCACTCCTGGCTCGGGTTCAATTCCGACGTTCCCCTTATGCGAGAACTGGTAGTAATAAACCGGGTGTTGGTTTACCGAAGCATGCAACCGAACACTGCGATGAATATGGTTCAGGAAATATACATCTCTGAAAATCAATACAATTATATAGCAATTGAGACTGGGCAGTGTAAGTCACAGTATTTTGGATCGATACCTGTGATATGATAATACGATGGCCAATGTAATATTGTTACTAAAGTACGTGTCCTTAAGTTGGCGAACTACCTGAGCTATTTCTCTCTCACTCACAAATTTCAATTCCTCAGGAATTAAAAAATCAACGTTTTTTGTCATTCTCCTCAAAATTCTGGCAGCTTTTATATTTGAAGCAAAAATATACGCTTCATCGGTATTATATCCAATAATCATTGGCACTGAGTTCACTTTCTTTTCAACTAAAAGCTGAAATGGAGCGTCTGTTAACAGGCGCTCATCTTTCTTGAAATTCTTTTCAACGCACATTCCGAAGGGAAAGTAAGGGACGTCTAGTTTCTCAGATTTGGCGGCTAAATTTGCAGTATTTTCGTTGACCAGTGTTGATAACATGTCGCCCTTGTAAGTGATCTGCTCGGCCAACAATTCTGCTCGCTCTTTAGCATCGTAATTAAAACCAAATGGACTTAGCACAGTTCCACTCTGTAATATGGCTCCATTAAATAATCCATGGGCCATCGGAGACAGCGTTAGTGCTTCAACTATGGCAGCACCAAAGCCTTGCCCGGCTACGACTGTACTCGCCGGATTTCCTCGAAAAGCTACTATATTATCTCTTATCCATCGCAGTGCTAGAACTACGTCCTTGGCTCCTGCGTTGCCAGGTATTGATTCCTCATTTAAACAGAGAAAACCAGATGGACCCAACCTGGAATTGATATATAATTGCTGGTGTTATAACGCTACTGCAAATGAAATTGCCAACACAGCAAATCGTAGCTCTATGCAAAATACGTACACTAGGACGACATCATAAATTTAGCCTCATTGATCATTCATAATGAAAAGCAGTATCAGACCACATTGACGTTATCGGCATTTATTGGAAACAATAAAATCAAAGACTCCAATTACCTATGGTGAACAACAACTACAATAATCCCTTGCTTCACAAGTTTTCCGGGCTGGTAGGGCCCACTACCGCCAGTGACCCACGCCAGTACAGGCCAGGGTGCTGATGCTGCGGTGGGCACGTGAACGTCAAGGCGTAGACATTCGTTTGCCTCTGATAATGCTGTGCAGTGAGGCGCCGAGGACTCGCGGATGCCGGTCCAGAAGGGTGCTAGGCCTGCTTTCTAAAATACGAAGTTTTACCAATTACATATCACGGTGTATGTACTGTCACTGTACTGTCTTTAGGGCTAAATACTTCAAAAAGAAAACAAAACCTGCCTTAAAACTTCCGTCAGCCCCACTGACCCTGGCGTAAGGAATCCCAGCATAAGAGGTATACCCTTCATGAGATTCTCCCCTCAATTTGCCTTGCACAGTAACCACAACATCTTGATGACATAATATCGTATTCAAACTCATCATTACCAGAGCCACTTGTGACATTTTTACTCGAGTATCCAATTTATATGTAGTCATGTTCTGGCTTTCAGTTGATTGAAATTGTTCCACTACTGCAAGCTCAATCACAATTGTACTGTAATCACATCGTGATACCTCGTTAACTGCAGTTTTGTGACATGTTTTCGCCAACGCGTGTCTATAGTGACGAATTCAATAAACAACTGACGATCTAGGATCATTATCCTGTGCAGAATTGCTGTAAAAACATTACGCAATGCGCATTAAAATCAACCAACCGTTACTGGAATTTAAACTCCGTGCTTTATATTCAAATGTATGATACATAAACGTGGTATTTAGATGACCCCTTTAAAAGTAATTTTAAACTCTTAACTGAGTATTGTTTGTTAAAACGGTGATGGGAGAAAAAAATATTTTAATATTATCCTTTAAATCAATTAAACAAACGGTTATCCACTTTAAATAATATTTATTAGTGGGGCTGAATAATATAATGCTTATAGGTTTATATAAAGGTAAAACTGTTGTATAGATACTATCGCTGCAAAGACCACAGATCAATAATTATCTCCGTTTTTACCAATTTTTATCCATCCTTTTCACAATCTGGGAAACCATAATTTCATTTGTGTTTAATCATAAATTTATTTGACTACAGATTACTAAGTATTATGCAAAAGCGTATAATAATATCATATACTGGACCACTTTGCCTTTGTTAAGATTTCGTCGAAACGATTCATGTGAACGATTCATGCGAATGTTGAATCCACCGCCACGAAGAAAGTCGTTTTACTAAAGCAATATTTTAAGCCGAGAAATAATGACAAACTCTGATCTGAAACATCATTTATTTGCTTTCATCATTTATTTGTTCTTAAATTGATAATTTAATAAAACCAAACCAGTAGTAAAAATACTACACCTATTACACTAAATAATACGTTCAACTTTCTTTAGAAAATCAGTCTATTTCAAAAATGAAACAAAAATTTTAATCACGTTTAAATTAACTTCTTTAGGCTTCTTTAAAATGTCTTGAACCAAACTTGTCTGAACTCTGTCCGAGTGTTCATTAACGAACTTAACATAACTCGTCCAGGTCAATAATATTTCTCACGAATTTGTTCCTAGACATTGGCCGTATCTATTGTTAATCTCCGTTGAAAATATTCTAATACTAAATTGACTTAACAATAAACCGTTGTCACACTAACGTCCATCACCGGAAGTATCTTGCTCTCATCTTTCTTTCTAACGTACTACGCTACAGCACTTAGCTTAATCTACATTCTCGGGAGATCATTGTACACGTGGTAGAGATCTTTCGTTCACGCTACATCAGTCGAGTTTATCTGACCCTTTTGATGCTGTCGAACAGACTGATCAGCTGCAACTGAGCCGGTGTCACACTCGCCACGCGAATATCCTTTGGCGAGTCGATAGCCAGGTACTTTTGTTCACTTACTGGAGGCCAAGAGCCCGCTGAACATCCTTGACCGGGCTTAGGGTCACTGTAAGAAAAACAATAATAAGTTACACAATAAACACAAGAAAGTTACAATACACCAAGTACGACCTAAGGAAAATGAATATTTCATAAATATAATAAAAAATGTTGTGAATATTTAGTAGCAATACCTCCCGCTGACGTTAAACGATAACATCGTGATAAAACCTACAAATCGCAGAAGGTTCACAAACATTGGAAAACGGGTGAAGTCCTTTGGGCCAGCATGGCGGACTATGACCACAGCAAGGGGACACATAATGGATTGACAACAATGATAATGATAATATAAAAATACATACTCGCAATGAATGAAGTTGATAATGTAGTTTGTCATTATATTTTTCATAATGTCGTCGTTGATGCTTGAATCAACTTCGATTGAATTGATTTGGAATACGAAGCTAAGGTCCTCGAGGTGCGCTGCCCCTGAATAGTTGAGTCTCCAGGCTTTCTTCAAGACACTGTGGTCAGGATTATAAGAGAACCTGTACATGTACGCCGGTGCACCTCCCGATTCCCTTCTGTACTGCGCCACTTTTAAAGCCGGATACTCGAAGAAAGCTTGCGTGCATAAATGTATATATTTGTCCATTGTAATATTCCCATTGAAGTAAATCTTAGCAATCTTTTCTACATGTGGACTCAACACCTCTGGTTTAAATATGTTAGAAAATACCACATTCAGAGGCAATAGCGTTAGATTGTTCTGTGAGATGCGTTGCAACATTTTAATGTCTTCGAATGCTGAACGGAACGTTTCGCATTCAACATTAGTGTATCCTATGAGGAGAGGTATGTTTTTTCCTCGGCCGTTACGCAACGATATTTCGGTGTCTTCATCTATGATCCTGGTGACTCCTGGGAAGGGCGATTCAATCACGGGGAAAAAGGTTGTGATTCCCAGTACTGCCATCAACTGCTTATTGGCGTCCATGATTTTGTCAATGGGCATGTCCACTAGCTGCCGGTGGATTTCCTCCGGATCGTACGTTGGCATATCGAGAGTTTTGTTCAAGAACAGACCGGCGACGTAACTGGCATAATTCGGAGTGAGCGTATAAAATGTTGGAAGCGCTGTCGCACTCATGATAATCACCCTGGAACAGAGAATTCAGGTTGTAACATTTTCATGTGTTCAATCATTAACGGGTCGAGAATAATGTAAAGTCTGTCATAAAGCGTGCAAAGCAATTTATCACCTACCTCTTAAACAGCCCTTCGGTAGCAGTTGACAAAGACAGGAGATGCGCAGAAGCACCGCCGGCACTTTGGCCCATGAGGGTGACGTCCTGCGGATGTCCGCCGAATCGGCGCGCGTTGCGCTGCACCCAGCGCAGTAGCGTCACCATGTCCCGCAGACCCTGATTGCCAGGAATGCTGGGTACACCAAGCGACAGGAAACCCAATACGTTTAACCTGGAATATACATCAAAAACAATTACTATAAACACTACTAAATAACTGCACTTACTAAAATGTATTCATTGCCTCCTCCTCGCATTGACCTCTTGCCGCTGTCATTTCAGGAGCTTTTCACGAAACTAAGGGAACAAACGTTACGGAAAGAAATGTATATAAGTGATAACTGGTTACTTATAACCTAATAGAGTAGTGAATTCTTCATAAGGTGTTATAAACAAATGACCGCTACGTTCGCATGATGTATATAATTAGTGGAGTTTTTGAACAACCCCAAAGCCCTATGTGCCTCTGACGACGCTTACGTAAGCACGCTTGTGCACCGAACAAATAATGAACCGATTTCTGTCAAAGAACATTTTTACATGCAAATAAGTGATTACAAACAATTATACTGCAATGACAATTACCTGTAATTGAAGGTGATGACAATTATTCCCTTGCTAACTAAAAGTTCTGGTCCTTGCACATCAGTGTCTCCAGATCCATAAGAAAATCCTCCTCCGTGTATCATCACAACGATCGGAAGACCAGTGCTTTCATTACTGTCGGAATCTTCACTTTCTGGAGGTATTAGATCCCAGGCCGGTATGTCAGGTATGTGGATATTGGCATGAATACAAGCTTCGCTCATGCCTTGTGGCTGCATCATGTCTTTGTACAAGGCGTCGTATTGAGGGCATATTGGACCTTCATCGAATGCTTTGAGAATACCTTCCCACGGTTCTAGCGGTTGAAGTTCCTGAAAGGTTTTTTTATAAACTTTTGACCTGCTGTGATTAATAAAATATTTAACATTAAATGTTAAACAATTGTTGTATAATTGTTCTATCTGTTTTCGTTATGAATTTTCCACTTATGTACACAATAATTTGTGTAAACATGTTATTAACCTACTCCGAGGAAGGAGCCCTAACAAGTTATGCAAAGTTTTGACGTTATACAATCGCACCGACCTCCGCCCGCACGGTGATTCACGCTCCATACTAAGGCGGTCATAAATACGTAACTCCGAAATTATTATTATTTTTTTATTTTATTACGTTAAAATATGATTAGGTAAACGTAAATTAATAAAATTATACATTTTAAAAAATATTTGACAATATTTAGGTGTAAAAATGTCTCGCAGTAATTTTGTTTTTAGACGATGTATCTAAAACATTTTATACTGCGACTTTTAATGGTAAAACTGTGTAAATAATGATTATTTGTATTAACAATAACCACAAATGAATAAATTAAAACAATAAAAATACATAAAAAAGTTCATTTTACAAAATACAAACAAAACACAAATTATACCAAAATACATTAAATCTCAACAATATTAACTTTAAATACATAACAAGTCTAATACAGCTTTTGACAGTACACCTTTTTTTTTAACAGGTAACTTTCGTAGACCTGTTATGAAGGGATCTGAATGAAGAAGCAGCCTATTTACTAAATCTGTGTTGGTCACAATGCGACTCATTTTACGCGTATGATTTTTTCTAAAAGACTTGATGTATTTGTTAGTCGCTTCAGCTGCTTCTTCAGACAACTCTCCGATTGACAACAAACCGTAATCTATAACATTAGCACCATGAATTAGAACTTTGTGAACGGAAGCAGGCATGTTATACCACGGATACTCGGCAACTAACTGCCGAGCCGTCTCTAAAGCGAACTCTTCGAAGTTCGTCTTATTAATATTATATCCCGAATTTAAACATTGAAGGATGATCCAGCAACGATCTAGGAGATCCTTCTTGATCCCAGTAATTTCAGCGGAAATTTCTGAATTCGAGAAAAACCGCCTGGCTGTATTACCATCGTTTGATGTTCCGCTTCCGCCACTTTTAGGCTTATCCACTATAAGCCCTAATCTTTCTCTAAATTGAGTCTGAACATATGATTTTTTTGCAGCAACAAGCATTTTGTCATTAGCGGACCTAGCTTGCCATTTCCTAACATCTAACTTGTACGCGACATGAACAAAATATTCAAAAAAACGTATTAACGCGTGAAGAGGTGATAAACCAAATTCATATTTACTCTCATCGACTTCCTTATTTAAACATTCGTCAATTTTGTTCATTTCACTGGGCAAGGCGTTACAAATAAAACATTTTGATGAAGAAACACCACTAAGTGCATTACACACTTTACCATCTACCATAGTAAGTTGCAAACAATGAGTAATGCGATATTCGCGATCTTCTTCCTTGAAAACAGTAGGCTGCAAGTTCCTTATTTTATCTTTAAAATGAGCTTCTTCCTCAACTGACACTGCAGTCGATTCCTTCAAATATCGGAGGCGTATAGGACGACAGTATCGAGTTGATGAAGGACGAGGATTTTTCCACAAAACTACTGAATTTTCTTTGTTATCTGTTGTCAAAACAAGCTGAAGTGGCACATACGAAATAACAAACAGGCTACTGTCTTCAAGAGTGGAGTCAGAAAAACACTGTTTATATTCTGAATGCCCTGTACTGCCATCGAAACCCCATTTCCCTATCAAAGATATCTTATCTAGAGACTCATTAGGTACACTATCCAAAACATCTTTTTGAGACTTGAGAATCCGATTGGCAGTATGATCTAATAAACTTTGAAGTTCGACTTCGGCGGATGATTCTGTAACAGTAATATCTGAAGGATAACAGTGTTTTTTAGATTCCACGACACTTTGGTAAGATGGGAAAATGGTTTTTGAAAACTTATTGTCTATAAATTTCTTTACTAATATATATTGATGTCGAGTTAACTGAGCTTCAACAATGAGCGATAAAACTTCGCTAGAATCGATTTCAGGACAAGACAAGCTATCGGACGCATTGAGCAATGACTGTACAAGAGAAGGGTCTTGGTTAGACAAACTAGCCAATCTTCTCCTTTTTGTACGTTTACTGGTGTCGTCAAAGTTAATTCTCGGACGGCCATGCGATGAAGAAGTTGATGGTTTAACTTCGTCAAAGCTCTGAGATACACGTAACTCAGTTCGCTGTACATCAATATTTTCAACGACATGCAGCCAATCTGAATATTTTTCTAAGAATTTAGATCTAGTACGATTCGACTTTGCCCAGTAGTGGGAAATTCGTTTACAAATATTCTTAATTTTAAGGCTTAAAGTCTCTAAATCAATATTTTCGATGTCGTCAGAAAGGGATGATGTTTCGGTCAAAGTGCTCAGGACGTGTTGCATTTTTTCATTTGGATTACCCACTTTAGAGTGCCAAATATCAAAAATTGTCATCCTCGATACAGAACATTTGAAAAATGTACCTAAAACAATATGAAAGCTGAACTTAAAAAAAAATTAAAAATTCAATACTATGGACATGCATACTTTGACACCCCTTTAAGCCAAGAAGAGGCAGCAAGATGCAAATGAAACTTATAGCTCTTAATAAGGACATACTCCTTATTCAAAAACCATATACCTCAGGTGCAGCTCAGCGCAGCCAAAAGTTGTAGGTCTAAAGGAAATTAAGTTATGCCAAAAATTTTCACCAAAAAAACTGCCTTCAATAAAAAAATTATATAAAAAAAAGTATGCATAAAAAAAATTAAAAAAAATTGATAATAAAAGTACATACCATGCTCTTGGATCTCCATGCTTTCACAACACGTAAACACTTGATTTGGAATAGTGACACTCAAAAACAAAGTGATTAAGTTTCGATGACTCACACGTGGTGATAATTAGTCTCGCGATGCGCTCACTTCCGATGCACAAAAGTGAATGATAACGTGACCTAATTACATTGATATTTATAGTTTTTGGAAGCTTGTTAACTAGTTACTAACTTAGTGAGTTGATCTAACCGGGATAAGCCAATGATTTTTTTTGATTTATGGCCTATGGGGGAATCACAGTGGCCCGGTACCTTTACAGCTTCACATTTTATGTGTTTGTCGTATTTTTCGATTCACACAACGTATTTTGAACAACAGGTAAACATGTTCGGAGCAGCTCAGCTTAAATTGTTTCATCGTGTTGTATGTTTGTACGTGGCAAAAAAATATTTATTAACAGCAGTATTATTATTCCCCTCTGGATTAAGATATACATTATCTAAATGCGTAGAGATCTTATCGATGTAATATACGCATACTCATTACTGAGCAAACTTTTGAACAATTTAGAAAAGGAAAAAATAAATGTTTAAAAATTAGATAAATAATTATTTTTAAATAATAAGACAAACAATCATCTGGCCTCCTTATATCTATACAAGACTAAAGAAGGATTGTATGTAGTCGAAGATACGGAATATCGAATGTTAATACCTTAAACCTGAGTTCGCCGAAAGGCTGCTTGGCGTATGGCACGCCACGGAAGCTACGGTACCGGCTGCCGTTGGCGCCCTCACGCATCATGCCACACACCTGGCCTGACTCTAGTCTCAATAACACGTCGCAAACCGGCTCGTCTTCCACCGCCCCGCACGTCGTCGCCACTGGAATATTAATAGCACAGTCGATCACTTTTAAGAGTTATGGCGTCATCATCGTCGTCAACCCGTTTTGGGACCCACCGTGGCCACGTGTCTTCGCTAAGAAAAGAGGGTTCTTCGAAGTGCAAATTGAATTTCATCACCATGTTTTCCTTCACCGAGTATGCTGTAGGTATCATGTTGCAGAAGGTGGCGTTGCTTTCAAATTTCCTCGTAACGACTGTAACATAATCCCATTCGCGAATAAATTATAATAATTATAATAATGAATAAATACTTTAGCTGTACAGAAACGAATTCTTGCAATATGTAATTTAGTCGTAAGGGTTCTTAGAAATCGACTTTTAGAACAAAAATAAATCGCTTTTGCAAGGAAACCCTAGTATAGTATAGACTTTTTGTGTATCCCTAAAATAGAGCTTATCAGTAAAAGAATGACAAAATACATTATCCAAAACTCCCGTTGTTTAAAGAATACCAATTTAGCTGTGTCAAAATTTTTAAATACTTCAAAGCTCCACGTAAAATCTTACGTGAAAACTATTAAGAGCTAGAGAAAACGGATCTCATGCAGTGATACGCGATAATAAATTAATTGTGGATGGAGTTCACGTCCCAATCGTGGAAAATCAACGACACTCGCAGTCAAACAAACAAACAAGCAATAACAATTATTAAAATAGCTGATAATATACAGTTACGTAATGAAAAGAAGAGCGACACATTGAAGACGTTTCGCTTAAGTGAATGTGTTTAAAAGTCTCTTTCAAAATATGCAAAGCCTATTTAATAAAAGGCATTTGTTGGAATCGTATTTACAGGAAGATCAGGAACTATGCCACGTAATATGTATATCTGAATCTGGGCTATCAGACGAAAAACTGGATTTAGGACAGCTACCTGATCCCCAATTAACGGCTTCATTCAGTCGGAAACACCGAACGGGTGGAGGATTATGTATTTTTAGTCACGGGAATTTACATTGTCGAGAAATTAAAAATATTTCGGATTTTACAGTAGAATATGTCACAGAAGTTTGTGGTATCAGTATTTGTAATCTTGATGTGATATTGTTATGTGTATATTGGAATGGGAGGCAGACCGAGGTTTTCTATAGTCAAATGGAATTAATTTTACAATATTTAACTAAGACGTACAACAAAAAGAGAATAATAATAATTGGTGGAGACTTCAGTGTAGCTATCTTAGAAAACACGCGACAAAGCAATGCACTGTTAGATTTTATGTTAGAGTATAATTTTAAACAATTAATTAATGAACCCACGCGTGAAACTACAACACTTTTACCTGTGTAGACTTAATATTTTATAATTTTGACACAAATGCACTAAACACTTCAGTACAGAATCTAGGTTTTTCCGACCACAAAGGCGTACTCATAAAAATCCACGAGCTAGCACATAAGGCTGTTATTTCTTGGAAAACAGAGAAACGCTTTTTTAATATAAAAAAATATGACTAATTTTAAATCGGAATTAACGGATATTGACTGTTATAACATACTTAACTTAAATAATGACATAAATAAAAATTATAATATATTTATTGACATTAAAAAAAACATTTTAAATAAATTTACACCTAAACGGACAATTAAATTATGCAATAAAAACAAAAATCATTGGTTATCCCAGGGAATAAAAACATCGTGCAAAAATAAACGATATTTAAAATTACTTGTTAACAATTCAAAAAACCCTATTCTCCGCAAACACTACAAGTTTTATGACCGAATTCTAAAACGGTCAGTAAATAAAGCTAAACGTTTATATTATGCAGCGCGTATTAAAAACTCAAGTAATATTATAAAAAGCGTCTGGAGAACAATTAGAGAAATTACTAACAAAACAGTTATAATAAGTAAAGAAAACATAATGCTATCCGTAAAAAACCGAAATATAAGCGAAGCAAGTTGCAAATATATTCAATAATTTTTTCGCATCAGTGGGAGAAGGGGTCTAACTCAAGATGTAGGCGACCTATAGTTAATAAAACTGAGTACACCATGTACCTTACCCCCGTCTCACCACAACAAATAAAAAACATAATCCGTAACCTAAAAAGTAAACATAGCTATGGAATTGACGAAATACCTCCAAAATTGATCAACATGTGTGCTGATGAACTAACTTTGCCTTACTACCTACTAGTGAATCAATCTTTTCTTGAAGGAACTTTTCCGGACCAGTTAAAAATAGCAATTATAAAACCTATACACAAAAACAGTACTAAATCGGACCCAAATAATTATAGACCAATAGCACTACTACCCACGTCGTCTTCGTCGTCGTCGTCAAGATATTTGAAAAGGCTATGTGCAGTCGAATTTATTCTCACTGTGAAAAGTATAAACTGTTCACAGATTCACAAAATGGTTTTAGAAAAAGCAGATCTACTACTTTAGCCGTTTATAAATTTATACAACAAATATTAAGTATTTTGACTAAGCGACAGTACGCGATCGGATTGTTATTAGATATGCCGAAAGCTTATGATAAAGTACAATATAATATTCTACTAAGCAAACTGTATGGTGTAGGTGTTAGGGGAGTAGCATACGAGTGGTTGCAATCTTATTGACAAAAACGAGTTCAGTCTGTTGACATAGAATTTTTTTACTACAATACATGTATAATACGTAATGTTAGATCTGACCAGCATTACTTGACAAGTTCAATACCGTAGGGCAGCATGATTGGATGTTTACCTTTCCTAATCTACATCAATGACTTACCTAAATCTATTTCTGAACACTGTTCATGTTTGCCGACAATGTTTCACTTTTGACACCGTGTGGTACCGGTAACAACGTGAATGCAAAAATTCACCAAGTTTTCACTGAGGTCATAAACTGGATGTCTGATCCTAACTTGGATATAAATTTAAATAGAACAAAGATTATGCAATTACACCCACCGCAAAAAACTCCACTACACTTAGTATATACATATAATAACACGCCTGTAGGAACAGTACGTAGCTTCATTTTGTTGGGTTTAAATATAGGCACGCATGTGAACTGGAAATGTCACATACAATAAATTAAGAAAAAGTCGTCTAGTTTCACGTACACACTGAGGGAGATAAAGAAAACGACTGACCTAATAACTGCAATGACCGCTTATTATGCTTACACTCATTCCCATCTAAGTTACGGAATTATCCTTTGGGGAAATAGCGTGCACGCACGAGAAATATTTACAATCCAGAAAAGATGCATCCGTATTCTGGGTAATTTGAGGAGTACTGATAGCTGCAGACCGCACTTTAAACATTTTAAAATTTTGATTTTGTGTTCTATATATATTTTAGAAATTTGTAGATTTATTAAACAACACCCTGACTTTTATACTAACATTGACGACCTTTTTTTATTTTTTTTTTGCGTGAGGAAATCCTCCTAGGGTACCTCTCCGCCGCGGGGGCAGCGGGAGGTTATGCCGTACTTCTACCGGCTAAAACCCCACAGTGGCCTACTCGGGTGCTCTAGTGGGAAGGATCCGGGATCGACTTTCCATCCCATGTTTCTATCCCAACACGTTAGCCCTAATTGTGTCGTTATTCATCGAATTGTCAAATTAGTTCCACACTACGTGACGGGACGGGCAAGTCGTGCCACTCAGAGATTTAAATCGCAAAGGTTTGTTGACAAGTCTCATGTGCCTATAATTCCATCAGCGCCCTTACCCTTCAAAACCGGAACGCAGTAATGCTCGGCGGAAGAAGTAGGTAAAGTGGCAGTACTTCCCTGGATGAACTTTTTCACAAGGAACTCGACTGCTACAAAACGAACGTCCAGAACGCTCCATTTCTCTGTCATTGAAATGCCACCGACTCGCACGAAGCGCTTTCCTTCATCTTTCATAGTGATGTATTATAGCAAAGGCATGAAACTTTTACACTGCGGGCGTCTGTGTTTCCCGAAAAGTGCAACAATTTCATATACTTCACTAAACTTTCTGTCCTAATTACTACATCTTCTGTCACTGTACAACGTTCTCTTAGCACAAGTTTGTGGAACGCCACGTCATCACCACGACGGGGCGCGTTCAGCGTTACGTGAAATTCTAACATGAACTTGTTGTCTGTTCGAAACGGGCCATGGCTTCTACCAATTGGATACCTAATTGATTTGGATATATAATGAGCAATTGCAAAAATGTAACTTCGTTTCATTGTATTTGTACTTAGGAGCCAAAATTATTTGATAAAAAAACCTGATAATTTAATAATAACGTGCCACACAACCACACCAATTACACTAAATATCTGATGTCAAAATTAGGGAATTTCCAGCGTATGCCAGAGCACCAAATTTAATGTCCGGGCTCTACTCAGAACGTCCACCAATTTAGAAAAGTTCGCTTCTCAAAATCAGTTCTACTGAGAATAAAACTCAGGACCCCCTCACCCAGCACTCACAATGGTAGCCGCCGTGTCATCAAGGTCGTATTATATGTACTCTCCATGTTATGATATTTTGAAGAACTATTTCTTTTTCAGCATCACCATTTCGGCGTCAAAGAGTTGTCCTTTAGAATAAAAATCGAAATGGGAACTTAGACTATCTATTCCTTTGGCAGGTGGCTCTGTTGGCTTTGATTTTATTACAACATTTGGCATCCGTGACCGGTGGTATAGAAAAGACGCGTGTATACTAAACATATAGCAAAACAATAAAGAGGCGCGTGCGCAACGCTTCCTTTCACATGTTCTATACGTAAACAATAGGCGCTTATATGTCTATGCAATTGTTGCTGATACAAGTAGATATGCTCGTAGGATGTAGCAAAGTGACCACAAATTTTAATGGTGACCACAAATACCTACGTTCATGTATGCATAAAGCCTTTCACAGAGAAACAATGATGCGCTCTCTCATTTATTAAATGCTATAAGTAATCATTCGTAATAATGAACGCATCCGTAGCAATAGCGTAGCGCTACGTGATGCAACCGTAGCGCTGTAGGTGGCGGCGTAGCATGCCCTTCCCGCTCCACGTGTCGCGACTATTGGCGATAAGCTGTTTTGCTGTCGCGCGGCATTATTCCTACGCGCGCATATAAGTTTTATTATTGCAATCTCTGACTTCATTTGCCTGTTTCAGGCACTCTGTTGCCTTGCTGAAGTACCTAGCAGTATTTTAACAAATTTTTGCGGCCTACGTACGCCTGTCTCCCACTGGGGTAGACAGAAACCACAAGTTCTCCTAGCCACGCTCCTGAGACACCTCTTCCGCCTCCTGCACTCGCATCATTCTCATCATACATTTTAATTTTTTTATAAATAATTATTTTTCGTTTTGTAGTTATAGAGCGCCAAACACTGATCTCGCCCTTGTGCTTATTTATGTTATTATAAATTTACAATACAATTTTAGTTATATGTATTTAGTATATAATATATTATTATTTTTAGTTATTAACAACTGATGTGTCATTCCCTTTTTTATACGAAATACGCGTCCGTTATTATTTGTTGTGATTTATACCACAGACAAGATAAAAAAATCTGCTTTTTACTACTAGCATGCTGTGGTGGCCTGTAAGTATATATGTGTAATGGTTTTATATGTTGATTGTGCCTTATGAGATAAATACCCTGTATATGTATTGTATTTGTTATCCATTCTAAATAAATAAAAATACGTAGATATTAATATTTTTATGCAATTAAATTTATGGCCTGTCATGAGTTTGAAGATGCATGCCTCATACCTAAAGTCGCACCGACATCCACTCAATATTGTTATAAAACAATATGTTTATGTATTACTCTATATTGTAGTGGCCTAGATCTGCGACCGGCATAACATCGCAGTTTGTCTTTTGATCCAATAAATAAAGCAAAATGACGCACGAAACTTTACATGTGATTAAGTTAGAACTTTATCCTCAACAGCAATGTCAACGAACGCTGCAGGTGAAATGATATCCTTGTTTCGCGTCGCGCCTTACGATATTTTTTAATAAGACGCTAATGCAATATTTACAATTTTCATAAATGTGGTGGCTAAAAACTAGAAGATTCACGTCAAACCAAAAAACAAAGCTTGCTGAATCCAACTCTTATAGGGCATCATGTCGTTCACTTATAAACCCCCCAGCGAAATGGAAAACAAGTTTCTTAAACTGTTATAGCAACTGTTTAATTATGAAAAGAAATTATTTGTACGAGAGATGCTAGAAATTTTCTTTCATAGCTCTCGTGTTCGCGTCTTTTATTAAGTACGAAAATTACGTATCGATCATTTAATAGAACTATAACTGAAGTGAAGGGTCGCTACTCACGGCTGGCGAAGGCGGCAGCGAGCAGCGCAGCAGCACCGAAACGCGGCATCGTCGGAACGCGACTTGTGGAATACTGCCCGCTGCCGCGCCGCACACTCTATTTAAATCAAGCATGGACCTGACGCACTTGCGGCTGAGGCCCTCGCCGGTCCAAGCCTGTTTCAGGATCGAGAAGCATTCTAAACACCACGTTTTATACAAATATCATAAATAAATAAGGACCTTTACAATCTAGTTCCACCCTCACCGTATCTTGGTCGTACTGTACAGTCCGGAACACTACATTCTTATGCGTTGCTTACCACCCATCCGCATAAAGCGCTATGCTTCATCCTCCCTAATGCGCACGGGAAGGGAATAGAATACACTCACAGCATCTGCGTTTCCCGACGTTCTGCTACATTTTGCTGCTATTCAAGGCTACAGTGAATAGGCATTTATAGAAAAACACATAGCATCCGGTGGACACCGTCCTTCGGTTTGATGCTCCTGGACATCTTGCCATCAAGGGTCCCACAACACCGTTTGCACTGTGAGTTGGGTCTCTCTTTCTAATAGCTTGAAGGCCACAATACTATATTTGTAACAGTATAAAATTACTTTTAATTAAATGGTATAAAATAAACAAACAACATCTATTCTATTATTTCTTCATCAATATAGCAGAAGCGACCTTTAAGGCAAGTGAGTGCGCGCGCGCGCAGACGAACCGTATAGATAACGCATCCTCCCGTCCCTATGAGGTGACACCGAGCGTTTGTCAACAACACGTGGCGATGTTTTGTAATACCAATGATATAATTGATTATCAACACAGTCCATATTTGGATTTGAATGTTTGTCAGAATTACATAAAACGGCGAAAAGTATACTATCTAAGGTTTCATAAAATACAAAATACTGGAAAAAATATAACCTCCAACCACCAAAATCTAAGAATGCTGAAGACAAGGTTGACGAATATCTGAACACCTGTTTCAATCGAGCTCCTGAACCCTGTCGGTGCAGTCATAAGGTGGTAGAAAATGACGTTGAAATGAACATAGTACTAATTGACAACGGTGTATTGTATTTCATGCTCATCTAAAAGACGCCTAACACGACGTGGGTGAATGCTTAAGGGAATTCAAAAGGACGTTTTGTTGAATTTGTGACACCGACAACGAAACTACAAAAGTGAGGCAAAAGAACGACAGAACTAGAAAAGTAATTCTCGTAACGTTACGAAACTTCAGGAGGTAAAAATTTAAGGAGCTACGAAAACAGTCGAAATTATTTAGAGCGCGGAGTTGTTAAATCCCATACTAACCGTATTCACTCATGTACAGGACCAGCTCTGCGTACGAGAAATGACACCGCTTTTAATTGTATCCAAGACGTTTGTAGTAATACTAAAGTATTACATTTTTCTCACAAACACAAAACTAAAGCCATCTCTCATGTGTAACGTGGCCGTCTAGTCGCACAGATTTACTTTTCGAAGGCACACTTTTCATCACTCTACCGGTAAACGATTGAGAATTAATTTCTCGATAAATATCGATCGAAAAACTCAGTTGGCACTATATCAGCGACGGAAAAGAGAAGCAAATGACTTAAAATCGCTTTATTAAAAATTGGACAATTTGTACGTTGAAAGTACATATTCTATATATTGAATTATAAACAACGCACGATTGACTGCCGCTCGTGGAAATGTATTGATACGTCGTCGTCACGAATTTGAAGAAATTAAGAATGGATCACGTGCGTCCATACAAACGGATGTTTTAATAACAACCTGTTATCAATTTATTAAGATACGGGTGTGACCTGTGAACTGCCCGAGCCTATCTCAGTTTGGATTCACGATGCCACGGTTGCTACGTGCAGGAGCTCGCTTTTACTCAGATACCAAATTCAAAGACCGAAAATACTTTTCCAGTTTTAAGTTATGGCAGGGGACGGGACCCTTAAACCTTTTACGACATGAGAATATCCTTAACAATAATACGTCAAAATTAGCATGCTGTTAGCTAGTGGTTAATTTTCAGGTTAACTTTCTCTACCTAATTTCGGTGGCAATTTTTATTATCAAATACGATAAATTTATTTCAGTATGACTTAGTCTAATACAATAGAAGGAAAACAAATAAAATAGTATTAAAATAAACAATAACAAAGGAATCTAAATTATACAGTATTCATAGTAAAGCTATACAATTTAATATTAGAATCTAATGTGTAATTGCGATGCCTAAACTAAGTAAATGTGTACCTGTATTTTAGGCATCTTTTGGGCATATTTTTTTATAATTAGAGCTTAAGAACACACTTTTTTTATTTACTTAACAATAAAATAATTAGTAGTTACAGATTAATTGTTATATAAATATAATTATGAAACAAATTCCAGCAAGCCCTCTGTGTCATTGTAAGTTTTACTCTTCAATTATTCAAATGTTCTTGAATTGTATCGTGAAGTATTATTTAATATTCGTGTGTTCAACCTTGAAATATTATTTAATACTTTGATAATACACTCGAATACTTAATAACTAATAACCTAACCTCCGGTTAAAAAAACCGACCTCAAAAGTTATTCAAGTGGATTATTTTCTTGAAATTTAAACGAGACCACATCTGAGGTACCTTCTTTCCAACAAAAAAAGAATCATCAAAATTGGTTGACAAACGGCGGAGTTATCGCGTAACATGCATACAAAAAAAAAACAAAGAACTGAGAACCTCCTCCTTTTTTTGAAGTCGGTTAAAAAGACGCCCCACCGCCGATTAATTTTGGCCGGCGTAACATTGGCGTAGAAAAAGTTTATTCTATTTGAATGAATCAGCTTATGTGTTAATTTATAAGACCGTTTATTGAGGCGCCAGTAACACACCAATGTCTACGTGATATTGTTTCTCACAAACGTTGCACGTTCTTTCGTCACACATCAACTGCCCTGCATCAACGGCAACGCGATTGCCGATCCTGCCTCTTCAATCTTAGTGGCATTTCTCTTACTCGCAGGGCGCATTTGTTCGACACGAATTTCATCGCGCTTTTTAATAGGCTAACACGAGTAAATCAATTTTCACCCACTAGATATAGTCCATTTCACATAGGGTGACTTCTGTGACATTTCCAATTTTTACGTAGCACGCTTACTATTTCTAACTAATCTTTCAATCGGGTCCCATAAAGAATTTGTAAATTTGCCATAATGTACCAAAAAAAAACTATATTTGTTGCAGTTGTAGTTTTAAATAAAAGTTACTGCACATTAGGTAGAAAGAAAATAAAATGATATAGATAAAAATAAATTACCCCAATTAAGTACTTGATGCGTAAAACGGAATATTTTATCCATACAGATTTACATCATAAAAAAGTTTTGTATCTCGTTTATTCCCGGTAATTCCATGTACTCAGTTCTACAAGTGCAACACCATGTAAGCGAGTCGTTTTCTTTTGTTCTGAGCTTTGCATGGTGTTTTTGAGAAATTGTTCAAAGTTTTTGTTTGGTTGTTGTTGATTTTTTATTTTTGTGTAGTTTTTTGGTATCTTAATAACAGAATATTTGAATCCTTTTTATTTTGTTTATTATTTGTTCTTAAAATATTTTCTTGAGAGAGAATCGTCGCTCTTCCTTACAAATTATGTCAATAAGATATTGAAATTGATTTTCTTTTTTCGTTCCATTTTACATCACCACATCTCTAGAAACTTCAAATCTCAAACGTCACCCGAACCACTATAAGTGCACGTTCACATGAATCCCAAACATACACTTGACCTGATTTCTTGGTGATATGAACATCCCGAAATGTGGGGCAAAGTTCAGACCAACAACGGCGAAGTCGGTACGTCGATTCAGGCAATAAAAGATCTTACTTACATCTAAGCGGGTTCTAACTTATAAACTTCCTTGAACCTTAACTACAGAATTATACAACGACACGTTTAAAATTATACTTGCCTATTTTTGACTTCACCATCAATGACCCATTATATATCCCACAAATGGGCACGGATCCCTTTAAAAGAAGGTTTAGGCCATATCCGAGGGCTGCTGACCCAATGCGAGTGTGAATTTTACACGTGCTCCAAGGGTTGTCAATGTTCTTCGACTTGCAGGTTTCATCATGACGTGTTCCTTCGCCACCGCTCCACCTTTAGTAATACACGCTCAACCATGGCACGTTGAACCCTGCAGCGCCTCGTCTACGACACCACCAGAATTCATCAATCTACTAAAGAATGTACTTATTGCACTAATGTGCTAAAAGAATATGCGATGTAGGTTTCGAACATAATTCCGAGAAACTTGTCAGAGATAACGACGACACCTGTACTTGAAGCTCAGGATAGGAAACTACCAGCTGCCGCTCCCTGTATACAGTTTAGAGTACTCTTGAGAAGAAGGGTTGCATTACTTAATTTAAAAAGAAATATTCTAATTAACCCTCACGTTAGTGGAGAACCGTGCCCAGCTTTGGGCCGTATAATATAACAATATTACATATAACGCACACACTCATAACCCCGCACTACACTGAAAAAGACATTTTCCTTTATGTAGGATAACTTTCGTTTACATGTAGCATAAAACTATGCCTCTACCATGAGTTTACATTGACAGTTCGACAGCGTAAAATATTAGTATACAAAATGGTGCATCTTCTCGTAACCGCTAGGGGCACTGTATAATTTGCCATACAAAATTGTGAAATAATTTACGCGGTCGCTAGCGACAACTGTCACAGTAAACTGATGGTAGAGGCACTGGTGACTACAAAACTACGGCAATACGTAACCAAAGAGTTCTGTGTTTCATACGTGCACACTTTTATTAATTCAAACTAATTTTGACAACGACTAACTAAATTATGGTAAAAAATGAAATAACGAAGTACTTTGGTTATCCTTTTTTTCAGTGTAGGGAAACCCACACCGCTGGTGCCACGGACACAAAATAGACAACCACAAATTACACTCAAACTCACGAGAGAAATAAATGTAGGCCATACAAATTTTCTTCCGACCCGGGACCTCTGCGTGGCAGTCCAGCATGGCAAACGTTCAGGC